CTCTCCCAGAAGGTACCATCACACATACACACACATGTGAAGCAGACGACCCCTGCTTGCCGCTCACGCCTTGGACAGTGAGCAAGCCGGGCTCCACCTGCCTTCTGAATGCCATCCGCGAACAGGCCAGCGGTGCACTGGCCTCGGAGGTGGGCAGAGACCACAAGGGGGCTTCTTGCCCGGGTCCTTCCGTGAGGGTGTGGCCAGTACCCTGGTTCTGTGCTTCGTCTCTGCGGCAATGCTGCTTGGTGGCATTGGTTATAAACAGGACACACGTCCCCGCGGTGACATGTCACCTCCTTGTTGTAGCCTGGGACGTAGGTCACGAAGGTCACAACCCACAGGTGATAGAGAAATTCAGGTTGTTGATTGTAGGCAGACTAAGGGTGTGTTCTTTCAGTTTATTTGGGGGCACACAGGCAAGTCAGCTCCACGGAAGGAAGAAGACCTCTGCCCCTGGTCGGGGAGACACAGGGTACATCCCAGGCATCTGAAAAGTGCAGCTCTCACTTCAAACCATGTCAAAAATTAAAACACTTTCCCCCCTCACTGTAGACTGTAGCCTCCGGCAACCTTAACCAAATCCTTTGCACAAAGAAAATAAAAGCAAGGCATATAAATTTCCTCCAGCAAGAAGACCTGTGAGTAAACAATGTGAATTTTCAAATCAGTTTCTTTATATTTTTATTGTGTGCTAGGGCAGCATTTTTATCACATCCAAAATGAAAGATGATTCTAAATAACACCCCCTTCCATGCCGTACTCCCTTCCGAGGCGCCGGATAGTGCAGCCTCGGTCTCCTGGAATTCCAATCTCTCCCCTCACTGTGCAGTCAGGCCCAGCAAGAGGAGGTGCAGGGCCACCACCTGGACCCCTGATTATGTCCTCTCTGCCGCTCTCATATCCAGTCCTCCTCAAAGAACCCCAAGGGTGACTAGTTCTCGTGTGTGACTTTCTGGGGACTGCTGCTGTGTGAAGTATGAGAAGGCAACAGAGCCCTCTGGGCCCTTCCTGCTGAGGTCTATGGAAGTCCCGGTTCACGCTGTGAGGATTTTCAGGACAGGGCCATGGAGTCCCTGCTTGGTGGTTCTCACTTAGTGAATGAGTCTTGAGAAGGTAGAGGCTGGCCAGGAATGATCGGCTCTCTCACCACTCTGGCAGGCATGTGAAAAGTTGCTCTGAGATGAACTTCTGAGATAGGCTTGGATACGCTCGACACTGTACACACCACTGCTTCGAGAAGCTTGGCATTTGCAAAAATCGATTCCGTTTTTGTCTACATACTGATTGATGCTGTAGCAGAGAGGGCTGGACACAGACCTTGTTCTCATGTTCACACCACGGGTTCAGTTTCCTCACGGGCTTCTGGGAAGTCTCCCTCCATACTCCTCCATTTGCTGTTGTCCCCATATGAGGTGAAAGGTGATGCCAGTGAACACCAGAGCTGTGCACACACGTGCGCACACACACACACACATGGTGTGGGGACAAACACACAGATGTATATATGGCACACACACCAGACAAAAGGAAAGACAGACCCCCATATTCAAAAGCAGTGACTCTCCATGTTGGGAAATGAGGCCATGCATGAAATGTCACTTCTGTGAGTGTTCACAAGTGGAAGGCTGAAGGAAGTCCACTGTCCTCACACCGACATGTGGCACTCGAGTCTACAAAAAACTGCTTTATCCACACAAGTTCATCAGTCATCTGTCTTGGAAGTTGGTTTGCAGGAAGGGGCAGGGTTTAAGATGGTTGCTTCATTCTGGCTTTTTGAAGGTGTGCATGAAGTGAATTCTGTCCCCCAAGTATGGAAGAGGATCCAGGTGGTGGGAATCCTGTGATGCTTTTAGCATTTCATGGCTGCTGTGGTAATAAGAATATTACAGAAATCTCTCTGAATTTGACCTAGCTAAGTATGGTGTGGCCTCTCCTAGGGCAGTTTTGCAGAGGAACCTGCTAGGAATTTACTGGTTAGTCCGTCTCTTGTGAAATGTCAACATGAGAAGCAGTTTGGGTCAAAGATTATAGCTGATAAAACTTTGTAACATTGTTTTCACCATGTATGAGACTCAGGAGGCCTACATTTGCCCAAAATAAGAGAGGCCAGGATGCAGCCATGTTCAGTTAATAACTTGCTTTTAGAATTCAGGCGGTCAGGAGTGGTTTTTGTGTCTTGGCAAATATGTTTAGCAGACAGGCACTTGAATCCTGCCTCTGAGTTTTTTTTCCCACCTCTTTTCTCACCGTGTTTTCTCCCACTAAAGATGTCCTGGAATTTCTCATTAGTGTCTGATGCAAGCTTAGTGACTAGTAATGAATATAAACAGAATGTTGCATTTGTAAATTATCTATCATCATTTCAATGCACAAATTTTATAGTCATGGTGGTTGTTTAATTGCTTCCCACATGTTGTGGTACCTTTTTGTCTGGGAAAATGTTCTCGGATACGTGAGTGCATGCCAACACTAATGTGAAGTATCGAGTCGGGGTGGTGAAACAGAGTCCTCACATTTGTAAACACCAGTTAGTTGATTAGAACAAAGTAGAGGGTGTGAACAGCCGTGGAGGCGGTGGAAAGCGTGCCGGGGGTGAAGACAGCTTCCTACCTTCCTAGTAAGCGAGACACAGGAAGAGAGAGGCGGAATCCTATCCCCAGCTCCTTCCGGTTGGAAGAGTGTGCTGGTGCCCGTCACTGTGAGGCTTCAGGTGACTCATTCCCACAGCAGACAGAGTCAGTTTGACCTGACCTGTTTGGTGTCGGGTTCCTCTTTCTAGCATGTGTTAGCGTTTTTATTTTGTGCACACGCAGTGAACTCTGCTTTTTCCCCTCCCCGCTGTGTTCACGTATGTGCTTGATGTGTGAGCACAGCCTGCCTGTTGCTGCATGGCGGCCTCAGGGACCCACCAGGTCTTCCAATGGGCTTCGCTTGGCCTGTGGTATTTCTGCTCTCCTGGGTCTAAATTAAGACCTCAGTTGAACAGGACTAAAGTATTCGCCCTGCCTTGGCCTTGGGCCCTTACTTTAAATGCTGACTCCCCCCCCCCCTTTAGCTCATCTTTGGCCTTTCTCAAGTGTAAGGGACAGTATGTGTAAAGGGGCATGCCCCTGGTTAGGTCCATCTTTGCTTATCAGGTTCCTGTTATCATCCCATGTCACTGACACCTACCCTGGGGTCCTCTGGCTTGTTGAGATCTGTGGCTCCAGTCAGAGGCACGGATGGATCTCTAGGGGTCATGGCTCCTCGGCTGGCTTTGGTATTTATTGAAAGTCACTTCTCTCTGTATATTCCAAACCCGCATTTGCTTTGCGCTCTGCTGGCCTTGTGTGCAGGGGGATTCTTGGAAGACTGTTCATCCAATCACAGTCCCCTTCTGTTTCAACTATCAGTCTGACTTGACATTCGGTGTGAAATTGGAGTTAAGTCACGTGTACTGTCAGCTGTGGCTTCCCCTTGCGTGACGGTTACATTTCCACATGGGAATTTTTGTTGCTGCCCATTTGGTGGCATTATTTATACTAAGTTTAAATTAGAGATGCCCAGTGGAGTACAACATTCTTACTGTTAAACAAAGCTGTACAGTGTGATCAATAGAAGTATTTAAGGCGTTTTATGCATTGAAAAAACAGAGCAAAAGAAAGAAAAAAAAATGCTTAGAGGTGTCCTTGTTGCCAGTGAGGAGTATAGAACCACAAAGCTGATGTCTCCTCAAGAAAAACACACTCAGAACCCAAAGAAACACTGCCTCAGTCACCTGACTTGTCCCTGCTCAGTAGTGGAAGTTGGTGCTGTGTGGGCTGTGAGCAGTCTGCCTGCTGTTACTGTAATTGTGAGGATTTGTAACGGAAACAACACACTAGGGCTGACCCTGGGTGGGGGGCACAGGATAACGCCCAGACACCAGGGCGGAACCTTAGCTGCATACAGAGTCGGCCACAAAGGAAGTGAGCACACACATCTCAGTGCTTAACCTCCAGGAATATACATTTGCAGATGTTTTATCTCTGATGTAAATTTTCCCCCCAAACACTTGTTTTTGTCTAGCCCACCTAAAAGATCACTCTACCATGGGCGTCCCCGCTCTCTTCTTTGGTTGGGTCCCCCTAATCCCCAGTCTTATGCTGTATCTAGAATAGTGAATAGAAATGGCGTGTGGGAATACTGTTTCCATATGATCTGTTGTATGGAGTAGATGCTACATGTTCATTTACTGTACAAAAGGAGTGCAGTTGATTGATGCACAGAAGTATTTCTGTACAGGGCCCTACCTATTGAAAAATCACGTACTTGCCCAGAACACTGTGAAACGCTTTCCAAACTACAAGTGCAGCGTCTGGATTCTTTCTGAGAAGAACAACTTTCTCCACGTGAACACAGGAACAAAAGAGATTCTCCATCCACACCCAGCCAAGGCACCTCAGAGGTCACGGTGACGGCCTCCTCGCTGGCCAGCACCCGCGGGAACAGGAGCACGGGTCCGAGCCACTGATCCTCGGTGGATGGGTCTGCAGCCAAAGCCTTAATGGGCTCTCTTTTGGAGGGGGAAAGAAAGAATTCCAAGTTCACAATATCCAACGTTATTATAGTCGATGAGTTAGTAAATTCCAAAAAGATGATTTTATATGTATGACGTTAAAAACAAATCTTTGTAAAGTGCGCAAGTGCAATAATTTAAAGAAGTCTTATCTTTACATTTATAAATTATAAATATTGTACATGTGTGTAATTTTTCATGTATTCATTTGCAGTCTTTGTATTTAAAAAACCTTTACTGTTACGTTTGTATAATAGAACAGTAATCATTTATTATAACTCGGGCGAGGTGTAAATAAATTCATAATTCAAGCAGCCAGTATATAAGCATATATGGGTGTTACACTGCAGAATCTCTATCTTTGTTCTGCCCACATACCTAAAGCAGTAACAATCTTTTGTGGATATGTAATTATACATATAAAGTATATATATATGTATGATACATGAAATCTATTTAGAAATGTTCATAATTTTAATGGATATTCTTTGGTGTGAATAATTGAATACAAAGTTTTTAAAGTATCGTCTCTCAAGTTTGCTCTCTTGTTTGCGGGGACGACGGCAGATGCTCCGAGCGGCTGCCCACAGGCGGCAGCCAGATCTTCCTCCCACAGGCGCTTGACTGGGAGACGCAGGCTGCACCCGATGCAGCTGGTGAAATGCTTGGTCTCTGTGGAGAGGAGCCAGAGGACACCCTCTTTGTATAAACGTCGAGTCTACTCCTGGATCAGACCAGGGTTTGTGCTCGTTAGTTTTTTGGTGAGTTGACAAACAGCCACAACTGTCTGGGAAGAGGAGCCTCAACTTAGAAAACACCATAATACTTGGCTTGTAGGCAAGTCTGTGGGGCATTTTTTTTATATTAATGGTCAATGTGGGAGGGTTCAGCCCACTATGGGTGGCACCATCCCTGGGCAGGTGGTCCTGAGTGCCTAATAAATGAGGCAGAGCAAGCCATGGGGAGCAAGCCAGCAAGCAGTACTCCTCCATGGCTTCTGCATCATCTCCTGCCTGCAGGTTCCTGTCCAGCTTGAGTTCCAACTTCCTTCAGGGATAGAGTGTGACCTGAGAGTTGTCAGGAGAAAGAAATCCCTTCTTCCCCAAGTGGCTTTTGATGGTCGTGTGTATGGCAGCAATAGAAACCCAAGACAGAGGCAGACTGCTGTGTCCACTGCTCCCACCCACCCTCTTGTCCTGTCTGGCAAAGGCTGACTTTCCTCTGTGGTTACACACACACACACACACACCCCACACACCATCACTCTGCTGCTAGCTAGGCTAGGGGAGTGTGGCCCAGTGGTAGGGCACCCGTCTCCAAGGACCTGGGTTCCAGCCTTGCATTGTAGAAGAATTTTTAGTTCCCCTGCACACCCAATCCTAACAACCGGAAAGCACTATGCCAGTTACTTTTCAACAGTGCTGGCTCTGGGTCAGGATTTACTGCCGAAGTCATAGGTCAAGGTCGTAGGTCATGGTGGGCAGCAGCTACTCTGCTCTCCGAGGCTTTTCACAGTGCATGCATGGCCACTGCTGCTCAGGAGGCTCCTTCCTGGGAGGACCCAGATGTTTTTGGTCCCTCCATCCCTCAGCCTTCAGATGCCCCCAACACCACGTAGAGGGAGAACACAGAACAACATTGGTAAACCAGGGATCTGCTTCCAGAAAAAATCCAGTTTGGTTTTGACAGGTCAGTATGTTGCACAGATAATAACTGAATATACTTCTCCTTCAGTCGCTTTGATGGAATATTAACAGGAGAGAGTATGGGTCCTGCTGTATTCTTAAGGCCCGACAGGTATTCGACTCCTGACATTCTGATTTTGTCACCTAGGGGGTAGAATGGCTGCACCGACATAGACCATGACTTGGAACAATTCTTTCTGGTTGGAGGGGGAAAAAAAAGGTGGCCTGGGTGTGCAAATCGGAGTTCTTCCCTCCCTGCCCAGCCTTGGGCACATCACCAGAACTCTAGCATCCCAACTGGTGACTCCGTCACATTGTAATCACGCCACAGCCCAGCGTTACTTTAGTGCCCACTGCGCTCTGGGCTAGAACCGAGGACGGCAGCAGGTTCATCCGGGACACCCCAGGGATGAGTTACCTTTTGTCCCCTGGCCCTGTAATAACCCTGCCTAGTTGCTTTCAAATCCGAAAGAATGTTTCCTTTTGAAAGGTAAAGCCAGTGAGCACCCTTCCCGTGCTGCCAGGCAATACTCACAGGCTTGGCAGAGGAAAGATGGGAAATCCTGGCTCTCCTGCCACCCTGTGGCTGGACCCCAGAGCTACATCATGGGGGAGGGGCTCAGAATGTTTACTGTTCCCGTGGCAACGGCAGCCTTGGCTCGCAGTTGGTGACAAGAGGGTCGATGGCTAAGGATCAGGAACCTGATTGTAAGTTGTCTGTCCCCATTTTTGTGTTTGCCTGGCTTAAAGTTGATGTTTGATTGCCCGGGAAAGCCCCGTTTCTCAGAAGTGGTTTTGAAAGTAAAAGCCTTTCGGGGCTGGAGGTCAGCTCCTGGATCAGCATGGTTTGCTTGGACTCAGAGACACACGGTGTTTTCAGAAATTGAAGAAGCCGGCCATTGCTGTCCACAACCAGGACCAGAGCAAAGGACACATGTACACCAGTGTTCCACCCACTTTTTATTTTTCATTCAGTCCAGGGTCTGGCCCAGGAAACAGGGTGGGTCTTGCCACTTCAGTGAACCCATTTAAGAAAATCCCTCAGGGTATGGCCATAGGGCAACCTCATCTAGACAGTTTCCCTCCAGGCTTCCTATCGGGATTCTATGTTGTGTCAAGATGTTGATCAAAAGTGACCATCCCCATGGTGTCTGTGCTACATTGTAGGGTGTGTGTGAAGGGGTGTGGTTTTCATGTGCGTGTTAATAAGTACAGTGCCCTGGAGGGAGAGGTACGGAGGGACTCACTACACTAGCTCAGTGTTGGTTTGCTTTCTTTAAAGCTGAGCTTTGGGAAACTTTCTGTACCACACTGCTGCTGTCTTGGAACATGACTTAGAGGTCACAGAGAGGCAAGCAGTCGGGTGTATTTCTCAAAGGCTTAGTTTATTGACAACATCATTAAAGAGGGGAACAATTCACATGAAATAAATCTAACAACCTGACAATCCAGCTCTAAGTGACGACACCGAGACCCAGAGGCAGAGTTCACTCGGGGACAGTTGGGAGAGGTGGTGGCACCAAGCAGGTTGTAAGTCTGAAGGCCCAGTGCCCACAAACCCCCACGGCCACACCCACGGGTGGGCAGGACAGTGAATGGACGCTGGCTCCACTGCAGATGTCCCTTGGAGGTGTCGGTGGCCAGCTGACACTCAGTTGTGCTTAGTCAAGTCAGCCAGGGTGCCGGACACTCAGCCCCCACAGGGTCAGAGCCAGCCCATCGGCAAGAGATCTGGGGAGACTGGTCACCCGAAGGCTCTCTTGTTGCTAGAGTACGTGTATGGCTCCCGTGTGCTGAGGTGCATTGGAGACCAGCATCCGCTGAGCCTTTTGAATGAAACCTGGGTTTTTATGACCCTTCTGAGGCTTGTCTTATCTTTGCAGACCTAATTGGTGTGGTCACCTGATCCCAGGACGTTGCTGTCAGCACATCCAGATGTCAGGACAGTGAGCAGGAGAGCCTCCGTTTTGTGTCTTTATTTTGTTCTATAATGAATTCCCCCCTAAGTGCCTGCCTTGAGGGGATTTCTATCAGGGTCCAGATTAGATGCTACAAGAGGCTAAGGATACTAATCTGAGGGATAGTCAATGAATCTAAGCACACTGAGTTCGTTAATCTATTCACTTTATTCGTCTAAGTTAATTCTGTCTACGTAGTTTCTTTTCTGTTCTCCTAGCTCCGCTCAGTCCCTCCTGCTCTCAATCCCTTCTACTCTTCTCTTAGCTCTACCTAGTTCCTCCCATCGCTGTCCCCATCTTTGTTCTTTTCTTGCTGTTCTCTCATATCCATCTCTATCTAGGCCTTTTCCATCTTTTTTTCCCCCAAGTGTGTGTGTGTGTGTGTGTGTGTGTGTGTGTGTGTGTGTGTGTGTGTGTGTGTGTGTGTGTGTGTGTGTGTATCCATTCATTAACAACTTGCTAGTAAAAACTACAAAGTAAACTCTCAGGGACAAGTATTCTGATAAGGGTCACACTTGGCAAAGACTTGGTCATCTTAATTGGTGACTGACAACAGCTGTAGGTTGTCAAAAGTTCTGGCTGTCTCTTAAAGGGATAGCCACAAGGGTTACAAGGGAAGAAATGAAACCAATGAGAGATTTAAGGGAAAGGCAAAGAATATGTGTACTATTTTATGTGCTTAGTAATATCCAGATATGGTTAGTCAGTTAACAGCCTTTATCTGTTAGTCCCTGAATTTCAGGACCTATATATAATTAGTCTACTGAGCCTAAAATCATTAAAAACTGGTGTAGAAATAAATATGAAGTGTTCATTGTTCTTTGAATCAGAGTGGGGAGGAGCCTGTGGAGGAAGCTTAGGGCAACATAGGTGCTGTTGATCTCTTGAAGGACTAAGATATACCCAGGCCAGACACCTGCACTGTCACTTCCGGCTCATTGTAATTCTTCTGAAGCATTTTGATCTAACAAGGCCAGACACCTGCAATTCTGCTCTGTGAAAGTTCTATGAAGACTCTTTGTCTGGCCAATATTATTTCCCTTGTCAGTGGCTAAGGATGGAGAACAAGACCTCTAAGTGTCTACAGTCCACATGGGACAATAGACCTAGTATGAAGCACATTTTAGTATGTTTCTATTCATAAAAATTGTGCAGTTAAATAAGAAACCATCTTCTAGACTATCCACAATCATGTGTGCCCATAAGATTGAGATGCAATCATGAGAGTACATGTACACATAACATGGAAATTCACAGACCCTGACATTCTCTAGAGCAGTGGCTCTCAACCTTCCTAATGCTGAGACCCTTTAATACAGTTCCTCATGTTGTGGTGACCCCCAACCATAAAATTATTTTCCTTGCTACTTCATAACTGTAATTTTGCTACTGTTATGAATTATAATATAAATATCTATTTTCTGATGGTCTTAGGCAGTCCCTGTGAAAGGGTCCTTCTACCCTTAGGGGTCACAACCCACAGGCTGAGAAACACTGCTTTATTACCAATTGGAGGGAAAATCGAACAAGTAAGCAACCCCTGTTTACTCCCTGGCATGTTTTATGGATCACATTTTAAAGGTGACTTTTCATCCTTACTAAGGAAAATTAGAATCACACGTAAAACTTGCCTTCTAGGGGAAGCTTTGTTTATGTTGTAAGCAACACTGTCATGTGCATGCACTTCATCTCTCTCCTGGTTAGTGGTCCTTCCATTTTTTTTACTGTGATGAAAATACCCTGACAAAAAACAAGTTTAAGGGCTAGTGGGTTTTCTGGGCTTTGGATTCCAGGCAATAGTCCAGCACACCACTGAAACTAAGGGGGCAGGGACTTCAGTCACATCACACTCACAGTCAAGAGCAGAGGAAAAGGAATGCACATGCGTTTCTAGTCCTTAGTGCTTTCTCTGTGCCGCTGCAGTCTGAGACACGGAGCATAGGGAAAGGGGCTGCCCATAGTGGGCCAGTTCTTCCCACATCTGGTCAGGTCATGAAAACAACCTGGGACAGATACACCCTCAAGCCAACCTGATCTGGATTGTCCATGCTTGAGATTCCCGTCACAGGTGATTCTACTGCATTCCGTGGACAATCAAAACTCTCCAGCTTGACCTTGAAGGGTTGTGAGTCTTATGCCTAGAAGAGCACCTGTAGCTAGAGTTTTCCTGCCTGGCCCACAGTCAGGACAAATCTCTCTCACCTGCCAGTCCCACAGCTGCTCAGACCCAACCAAGTAAACACAGAGACTTATATTGCTTACAAACTGTATGGCCGTGGCAGGCTTCTTGCTAACTGTTCTTATAGCTTAATTAAAATCATTTCCATAAATCTATACCTTGCCACGTAGCTTGTGGCTTACTGGCATCTTCACATGCTGCGTGTCCTGGTGGCAGCTGGCAGTGACTCCTTCTGTCTTCCTGTTCTTTCTTTTTCTTTGTTCCTCTCCTCTCTGTTAGTCCCGCCTATACTTCCTGCCTAGCCACTGGCCAATCAGTATTTTATTTATTGACCAATCAGAGCAACACATTTGCCATACAAAACATCCCACAGCACGCCTCCGCTTTTTTTTTCAAAAAGGAAAGTTTTAACCTTAGCAAAGTAAAATTACATATAATTTGGGAATTTGGGCGAAGCTTCTCTTGCCACTTCCTGCTGGAGAAGGGCGCTGTATCTTATGGGAACACAAAGAAAATTTTAGGATTATGGAATAGTCCATGAGGCTGTATTGTCTGAGCCAGTTGCCTTCAAACTATTCTGGATGTTGGATCATCTGGACCATGGTGTCATCTGAGACCTTTCAGGGGTCTTGGCTGGTCAAACCTGATGTATCTTAATCTGAAACAAATCCATAGCCTCTGGCTTTCTGTGGGAACAAAAGCAGAGTCTCCTTTCCAAAACAACACATCCTTACATCCAAATTTTGAAGTCAAGGTATCTTTAAAATATACATATTGGTTTAACTCAACATCTTTTACTATCAAATGTTTTTCTGCAGTTAAAAATTCCAAAGACAACACAATCCAGATTCTCTGTGTAATATTCATCTTTATTTGGCTTATTTTTTTAAATTAATTTTACTGTCTCTTTAAAGACTTTATTTTTTAAAACTATGTATTTGTTTATATAACTGTATATATCACCTTTTTAGTCTCTTTCAAGCCTACATATATTTTATATACATTGTAAACTATTACATCTGAATCTGTCTTATTGTGAATCTATTGCTTTAAACTGCAGCATTTGTAAGACTGAAATGGCGCTATGGCTGCTGGCTCCACCCACCTCAGCTTCCCAACATGGTGGTGGTATGTTTACCGCCAGCTCTGGGAGCTATCGTGGGTCTATGCTTTTATCCAAGCAGCATGTAGCCCAGAAACCTCTTTTTTTTTTTTTTTTGCTTTGTACTAGCAAAGGCTAAATCCACCACACATCTTAATGTGCCACTTGCAGAGGCCTCATTCCTGCCATACTGCAGATCAAGCGTGCACGCTACGAACCCACCAGTAGCTCAAACCAGCAGGCTGCCACTCATTTGAGAGAGACAGTTAGGAAGCTGTTTTTAGCTCCGTTTTAGAATCTTTTCTCAGGTTTTAGGTGGAAACTCTTGCCAACTCATTGGGTGCCATTTGTAGCTAGAGTTTTCCTGCCTGGCCCACAGTCAGAACAAATCT